ACATTATTGTTATATAATTAGATATACACTATTGTTTTATTTCTTGTTTCATGAATGTTCCTCTATTTTTCATTAATTCTTTTGAAGTAAATGCACATTTTCTAATGTGGCATTTTAATTTATTTAATGATTTTTCACTATATATTTTTGAGTTATTCCTTTATTGACCGTTCTGATACATACCACATATATTTTAACCTATCACAGTCACCTTGACATTTATACTAACTTAATTCCAGTGAGTTATAGAAATGTTACTCTTATGTATATATATTCCTCTTTCCTGCTTTTTGTGGTATTAATATTGTACATATTATATTTGTAAATGTTACACAACTAACAATACATAGTTATTATTTTATATAGTTTCTGAGAAGCCAGAAATAGAAAGGCGAGAGGGTGTATGTTTATAGGTTTTGTTTTATCTGTCTTCTTCTTGATCATTTTTTATTTTTTTCATTTGCTCCCACGTATCAAGTTACCATCTGTAGTCATTTTTGTAGCCCCATACATGGGGACCAATGGTACCTTGTATACAGATTCTTTGATACAACTGCTTTTTAAATCTGGAAAGAGGAAAAAAGTAGAAGAAATATGCACTTACACTGTCTTCATAATTACATAATTACCTTTACTGGAGCACTTTATTTTTTGGTGTGGATTCACATTATTGACTGAGGTCATGTTCTTTCAGTCTGAAGAACTTCTTTTAGCTGATTCATTTTTTGGCCAGATCACATCTGCTGAGCCCCTTGGTCCATTTCTCCTTTCAGTGTTTTCATTTTTCAACTGCAGTATGTCCACGTGGTTCATTTTTTATAATTCTTACTTTATAGATATTCCCTATTTGATGTGAGATTGTCATTATGCCTTCCGTCTTTAATCATAATTTCCTTTAGTTATTTTAACTTTTCTTTCTTTTTATGTGCGTGAGCCAGGGGAAGGGGCAGAGGGGGAGAGAGAGAAAGAATCCCAAGCCGGCTCCGTGCTCAGTGTGGAGCCTGACATGAGGCTCGATCTCATGACACTGAGATCACAACATGAGCCAAAACTGCAGATGCTCAACTAACTGAGCCACCTAGGTGCCTGTTTTAACATATTTATGATGAATGCTTTGAAATACTTATCTTTTAAATCCCATATCTGATCATTCTCACAAGTGGTTACTGTTCCCTAGCTTTTCCAGTACATGAGTCATACTTTCCTGTTTCCTTGCTTGACTCAAATTTTTTCCAGAAACTGAACTTTTTAGATAGCGTAGGACCTCTGGGTAGTGACCCACACCCCTGCCCTCCCCAGGCTTGTGATAATTATTTCATGTTTATTTGCTGAGCAAGTGCCTACATCATTTCTGTGAAGTTCACTCCTCACCCACTATAACACGAAGACACCCCACGCCCACCCCCCCACCCACCCTTGTTTGTTTTAGGAAGGTGCAGCGTGGGTGTACCCACAGCAGTACGATGGATCTTTTGTTTTTAACAATGCCCTGGGCATAAATTCCTCTGAAGACTGATCCAGTTAAATTTGGGTTCCTTTGAAGGGATATTTCCCAGGTCAATGTTTGAGTTTTTTTCTGACCCCGGGATAGCTCCTCCCAGCTGACTTTTCCAGTGTTGCTGTCTGACAAACTAGGCAGGCTCTTACTCACCTATATATCCAATGAATCTATAAAAGTTTTCCCAGTTGTCTTTCACAAGACCTCTGCTGGTTTTTTTTTTTTTTTTTAAGATTTTATTTATTTGACAGAGAGATAGAGTAGGCAGAGCGGCAGGCAGAGGGAGAGGGAGAAGCAGGCTCTCTGCAGAGCAGGACCCCGGGATCATGACCTGAGCTGAAGGCAGACGCTTAAAGGCTGAGCCACCCAGGCGCCCCTGACCTCTGCTGTTTTTGAGACTACCCTGAGGTTCAAACTTCCCTGCACTGTATCTCAAGTGGTTTCTGTTCCTTTGAGAAAAGATTCGGAGCTCTGTGTTCTACAGCCTGCCTCCCCCCTTTGGCAAATTCTCTGACCCGCAGCCCCTGGGCTGAGGGTGGGGACAGTGGTGTGCTCCCGCTGAGTGCCACCCTGCTCTAGTTGCTTAGCGCTTGGTGGAGGGGTAGCAGTGGCATCCCTGGGACTCCTCCGTTCACTGCTCCTGGTGTGGACCCCCTCATACCATAAACTGGGCAAGGGCTGTGAGGGCCCCAGGATTCTCAGCATTGCTGCAGCCAGTGTTGAGCCTCTGTCTCGCAAAGTGCTGATGACTGGACGAAGGGAGTCATCCCCTCTCCACCGTATCACCTGCAAGTTCACTTCAGCAACAGGTAGCTCTGGTCAGCGGGAGAAATGCTGACCTCCTGCCCCTCCTGGGAGGCTGCTGTCTGGGAGCTGGAGGAAGAGGGCGCCCTGCATTCCTGTCTGCACTAGTCTGCAGTGGAGTTTCCATCTAGCTGAGGGGAGGGAGCGGGGGAGGGAGGTCTGGCTTCAACTCCTCAGACTCTCACTGTTCTTACTGACTTTTAGTAGATTTTTGGAACAAATGCTTTTTCCCTTTTTTCTTTGCCCTACTGTTACCCCAAATTCAGTTCCCCCCTTGGTGGGTGTGGAGCCCAAAGACACAACCGAGCCAAAGAATGGGAAAAGGAAAGGTTCTACTTGGAACGAGTAAGGAGAACATCAGGGATCTTTCCCACAGCAGTGTCTCCTAGAACAATAAAATTGGGGAAGCTTTGGCTGAGGGTGCATCCGTATTTATGACGGGGCTTGCTCAAGGGGGAATACAGGTTGGAGTTGGGCAAAAAGTCGTCTTAGGGTGGCAGAGTCCAGGTCAACGTCCTGAGGGCCAGTAGGGGTGGGCGTCATTAGGTCTCTGGCTCTGGTGGGTCCAGAGTCTGAGTGCTCAGAGGGGTTTAGATCCTACGAAGGTAACTCACGGGTGTGTGTCAGGCCAGACTTCACTTTTGAATCAGCACTGGGAGTTGGTATGGTTGTTTGTTTGCTTAACAAATTTTTTGTTTGTCCTTCCACAAAGTTTATTTCTGTTATCAGAAAAGTAGTAAATAATAGTTGATGACCATTTGCTGGCTCTGGTTACTACAAGAAAATATTTAGCCTTCCCTAATTCGTACACACTTCTTCCTCCCCAGCCAGGGCCTCAGCCGCCAGCCCGTGGGGTGGTCGAGGATTGTGTTCCTGGCAAATGTCATTTCACCTCCTGGGTGGTGCCTCATTTCCCCTACTCTCACCCAAAAGAATGTGTTTAAATCCCTTTGCATTCCCTGAGCAATAGTGTGCAAGTCCACAAAGTGAATGGCTTGGACTAGATCTCTCAGCTCTTTTGCAGCTTTGAAGTTTTAGCACAGATTCTTCTAAAGAGTGGTGATAGAATAAAATGCGGTGAACTGCTGTCTGCTCATAATTAATTGAGATAGTTGTCATAACTAACTAGCACTGGAAATTTTATCACTAATTTATTGTTCCTGGTATCATTAGGCTGTCTCCTGGTCTAGTACAGGCTGTTCATTCTTATAAGCTTTCCTAAGACGGCCGGGGCCTGAGATCACTTTTCTTATGCCCAGAAAGCTATGTCTTTCTTTTTCCGGGAACCCCTATCTCTTTCTGCTTACATTAGGACCATTTCCAGAGGTTATAAATGGTTGTCTTCTAAAAACAATTGACATCACTTTCATTGGGATGTGGGCTGTACCGTTTCTCCCAACTGTCATGTCACATTACTATAATTGTTTTAATAATACTTTCAATCATCATTACTTTACGGTATATGCCATTTGTTATATAGTAGTATTTTATTTTAAAATGTTTGACAGATTTTCATTGTTGATTTTTATTTTGATTTCATTGTATCAGAGAATGTGTTTACATAATATGTATATAATTATTATGGATTTCTTACCATTTTTATATTTTTCCTGTCATTTTGGTGAGATTTTAAAATGGCTAGAAAAAAATGTTCTCAGTTTCAGATATTATAATGGAACTCAGTAAATCTGGTAGATTTATGAGAAACATACTAGTTTCTGCCTATAGTTGGTAATTACAGGACTATTGTTTATTTTATTTAGTTAGTTTTTAAAGATTTTATTTATTATTTATTTTTTTATTTGTTTTTTTAAAGATTTTATTTGACAGAGAGAGACAGCGAGAGAGGGAACACAAGCAAGGGGAGTGGGAGAGGGAGAAGCAGGCTTTCCACAGAGCAGGGAGCCCGATGCGGGGCTCGATCCCAGGACTCTGGGATCATGACCTGAGCCGAAGGCATACGCTCAACGACTGAGCCACCCAGGCGCCCCAAAGATTTTATTTATTTATTTGACACAGAGAGAGAGAGCACAAGCAGGGGGAGCGGCAGGCAGAGGGAGAAGCAGACTCCCCGCTGAGCAGGGAGCCCGATGCAGGACTTGATCCCGGGACCCTGGGATCATGACCTGAGCCGAAGGCAGACGCTTAACTGACTGGGCCACCCAGGCACCCTGTTGTTTATTTTAAAATGAATATTTAAACTTTGAGAAATTTCATTCCTAAGTTTGAGGAAGAATATTGTATTGGTTAAGGGCACAGACTGTGTATGGGGCAGGCTTCTTGGTTAGAATCTTAGTTTTGATTTTTTTTTTTTTTAAAGATTTATTTATTTTTGAGAGAGGAAGAGTGAACGTGAGCAAGTAGGGGGGAAGGGCAGAGGGAGAGGGAGAGACTCTCAAGCAGATTCTCTGCTGATCGTAGAGCCTGATAGGGGCTCAACCTCACAACCCTGAGATTGTGACCTGAGCCGAAATCAAGAGTTGGACGCTTAAGCGACTGAGCCACCCAGGCACCCAGAATCTTAGTTTTTATTCCGTAGGCATTGGGCATGTGACACAATCCCTGTATCCCTCAGTTTCCACAGGATGGATATAAGAACATTATGAACTTACTCCAAGTAATGATTTCTTTTTAGTAGTTGCAATATATTTTAATTGTTTAAATGACCACTTTTGTGTTATTCCTTAATTTTTTGCAGCTTATCGTGAGCCTCATTATTATTACCAGTTCACAGCTCGATATCATGCAGCTCCCTGCAATAGTATCTATAACATTTCTTTTGAGAAGAAACTTCTTCAGATTTTAAGCAAATTGGTTCTTGACCTTTCATGTGAAGTTTCTTTGCTGAAGTCGGAATGCCATCGTGTTAAGATGCAAAGAGCTGGTTTGCAAAATGAATTGTTCTTTACATTTTCAGGTAAGTATATATAATTCTTTAAAGAAAACGAATTGAAAACAAAAAGCAAATTTTGAAGACATGTGAATTACGCGCAGCATTTTTTGAAAATAAACGTTATAGCTCTGAATATGTTTCATGTTCTCTGCTTTGACGTAGTTCTGATAGGCCCCAAAATAAAATTCTACTGATTCTCGTACTTAATGAAATGTTGGCACTCTCAAATAACTAAACCTTGCTGTGGTAATTTACTAGAGAATAGAATTTGGTATAAAGAAATGCCTATCTTGATACTTAGCTGTTACAAAGATTTAATTTGTAAAAGCACCTGATTCTAATAACATGAGTTAATATTATAGACCACTGTGCTTTTCCTAATAACAGCGCAGAGTGGAGGCCCAAGGTTTTCTTGAAAACAAAGAATTGATTTTGTACCTATATGTATATTTATAAAGGGCCTGTTTATGAATAAACACTGTGGAATAACTATCCGTATGTTTTTATTGGGTCCCCCTGGCAATAGGACTCCATCCTCTTTCCATCTCAAATGATATTGCTTGCTGTTTTCCTTTCCTCCTTACTCTGTCCTTGATTCCTCTGCTGCTGATGTTGGATTGTACTCACCCATTTCTCCAATTTTCTGGGTTTTGGTTTTTTGTTTTGTTTTTTTGGGTTTTTTTTGGTTTGGTCTTTTGGCCATCAGCGATTGAATTTTTAGACACAACTGAGAGGTGTGAAGCTTTACAGGAGAAAAAACAAGAGTTAAACCCCATTTGCACTGTCTTTTATCTTCTTTACTACTTTTCTCCCTCTTCAGAAAAATTTTGGAAGTGAGTCTGTAGCCCCTGAGACAAAGTATCACAGTTAGACTCTTTCTTTAGCTCTTCAAGGACTCATTATTAGCATTCATAAGAATTATGAGGTCTTTGTACCCAGTGTGTTTAATAGGTGCTATTAATAGGCATTTAATAGTCCTTAGAAGACCTTGAAAGTAAAGTTGAACCCATGAGAGAAAAGATATGATATACAATAGAAATGAGGCATTGTGGGCTTGATATGCATTTTTCTAATGACTAATGATGTTGAACATCTCATGTACTTCTTGGCCATTTGTGTATATTTTATGGAGAAAAGTATATTCAAGTCCTTTGCCCAGTTTTTATTTTCTTTCCAGCTTTATTGAAATAATTGGCATATAACAGTATGTAAGTTTAAGAAGTACAATGTAAGGATTTCGTGTGTGTGTGTGTGTGTGTGTGTATGTACAAATATATATAAAGTTTATACCCTTTGTCTACTTTTATCCATTTCCCTCAGGCCCCACCTGCTACCCCAGCAACCACCAATCAGTTCTCTTCCTGTGAGTGGCTTTTGTCTGTTCTATGTATAAGTGAGATCATAAGTATTTATTTTTCTCTGTCTGAATTATTTCACTTAGCACAATAACCTCAAGGTTCATCCACTTTGTTGCAAATGGCAGAATTTCCTTCATTTTCATGGCTAAATACTGTTTCATTGTGTATGGATACACACACACACAATTGTTTCTTTTACTGTGAAGAACTTTTCTAGTTTGATGTAGTTCCACATGTTTTTTGTTTTCATTGTTTGTGCTTTGGGTGTCCTATTCATAAAGTCATTGGCATGTTCACTGTCAAGGAGCATTCTTGTATGTTTTCTTCTAGGAATTTTATGGTTTGTCTTACATTTAAATCTTTAATCCAATTCAAATTAATTTTTGTGAGTGGTGTGAGATCGGAGTCCAGTTTCATTCTTTTGCATGTGACTGACTATTTGGTTTTCCCAGTACAATTTATCGTAGAGATTACCTATTCTCCATTGAGTATTCTTGGCTCCTTTGACCTTATATGGATGGGTTTATTTCCTGGGCTCTCGTTTCTCTTCCATAGATCTGTGTCTGTTTTTTTGCCAGTACCATACTGTTTTGATTACTATACCTTTGTAATATACATTTAAATTAGAAGTGTACTGCTTCTAGTTTTCCTCTTTCTCAGAAACACATTGGCTATTCAGGGTCTTTTGTGGTCCCATAAGAATTTTAGTGTTTTTTTAATTTCTGTAAAAAATGCTGGTGGAATCTTGATAGAGATTGTATTGAATCCATAGATTGCTTTGGGTTGTATGGACATTTTAACAATGTTGAATCTTTAAATTCATGAGCATGGGATATCTTTCTATTTATTTGTGAGTCTTCAGTTTTCATTATCAATATCTTACTATTTTCAGTGTACAGATCTTTTACCTTATTGTTTAAATTTATTCCTAAGCATATTATTATTTTTGATGTTATTATAAGTGGGATTGTTTTATTTCTTTTAAGGTGATGTGCCGTTATTGTATAGAAATGCAATTGATACTTGTATGTTGATTTTATGTCCCACAAGGTTACTAGATTCATTTATAAGATCTGATAAGTTTTTTAGTGGAGTCTTTGGGGTTTTCTCTATATAAGATCACATCATCTACAGACAGAGACAGTTTTACTTATTTGTGTTTGATTCAAATGCCTTTTCTTTCTTTCTCTTGCTTGATTGCTCAGGCTAGGACTTCTAATACTATTATATTGGAATGGTGAGAGTAGGCACCCTTATCTTGTTCTTGATCTTAGAGGAAAATCTTTCAACTTTTTATCATTGAGTATGGTGTTGGCTGTGGGCTTGTCATATATGGCTTTTATTATATTGGAGTACTTTCCTTTATACCAAATTTATTAGGGGTTTTTATTGTGAATGGCTATTGAATTTTGTCAAATACTTTTGCATCAGTTGAGACGATCATGGGATTTTATTTTTCATTCTGTTAATGTGATACATCACAGTTGTTGATTTGCATATGTTGAACCATCCTTGCATCCCAGGGATGAATCCTGTTTGATCATAGGGTATGAAGCTTTTAATGTGCTACTGAATTTGGTTTGCTAGTATTTTGTTGAGAATCTTCCCTTCTATATTCATTATATATTGGTCTGTACGTAGAGATATAGGTCTATAGAGATATTGGTCTGTAGTTTTCTTGTAGTGTCCTTATCTGACTTTGGTATCAGGCCATGCACAATGAGTTTGGGCATGTTACCTGTTCTTCAATAATTTGGAAGAGTTTGAGAAGGATTAACATTAGTTTTTTGAAAATATTTGGCAGAATTCACCACTGAAGATACCTGGTTCTGGGATTTTTCTTTTGGGGACTAATTCAGTCTCTACTTGCTATTGATCTGTTCATATTTTCTATTTTATCATGACTCAGTCCTGGTAGGTTGTGTGTTTTAAGAATGTACCCATTTCTGGGATGCCTGGGTGGTTCAGTCAGTTAAGCTTGATTTCGGCTCAGGTCATGATCTTAGCATTGTGAGATGGAGTCCCATATTGAGCTCTGCACTCAGTGTGAAGTGTGCTTGAGACTCTGTCTCTCTTTCTCTCTCCCTCTCTGCCCCTGCTTCTCCCCTCACTTCACTCTCTTTCTCTCTAAAGTAAATAAATAAATTCTTTAAAAAATATATATATACTAATTTCTTCCAGGTTGTCAAGTTTTTGGTATATTGTTATTCACAGCAGTCTCTAATGATCCTTTGTATTTTTGTGGATCAGTTGTAATGTCTCCTTATTCACTTATAATTTTACTTATTTGAGCCTCTTTTTTCTTGCTTATCTAGCTAAAAGTTACCAATTTTTTAATTTTTTCAAAGAACCAGCTATCGTTTTTGTTAATAATTTCTGTTTTTTCCTATTCCCTATTTCATTTATTTCTGCTTCAATTTTTGTAAGATTTTAATTCCAGCTAGTTAACATATAGTGTTATATTAGTTACAGGTGTACATCCTAGTAATTCAGCACTTCCATACATCACCCTGTGCTCATCATGACAAGTGCACTCCTTAATCCCAATCACCCATTTAACCAGTCCCCCTACCAACCTCCCCCCTGGATTGGTAGAATAAATATTGTTAAAATGTCTATACTACCCAGAGCAGTCTATACATTTAATGCAATCCCTATCAAAATACCAAAATACATTTTTCACAGAACTAAAACAAACAATCCTAACATTTGTATGGAACCACAAAAGACCCCAAGGAGTCAAAACAATCTTGAAAAGGAAAGGCAAAGCTTGGAGGCATCACAATTCTGGACTTCAAGTTATATTACAAAGCTGTGGTGATCAACACAGTATGGTACTGGAGCAGAAATAGACACAGATCAGCGGAACCGATTAGAAAACCCAGAGGTGATCTCGTAACTATACCATCAGTGAATCTTCGACAAAGCAAGAAAGAATATCCGACGGGAAAAAGACAGTCTCTTCATCTCTTCAACAAATGGTGTTGGGAAAACTGGACAGCTACATGCAAAAGAATGAAACTGGACCACTTTCTTACACCATACACAAAAATAAAATCAAAACGGATTAAAGACCTAAATGTGAGACCTGAAAGTATAAAGTCCTAGAAGAGAACCCAGGAAGTAACTTCTTTGACATTGGTTGTAGCAACTTCTTTGAGGATTTGTCTCCTGAGGCAAGGGAAACAGAAGCAAAAATAAACTACTGGGACTTAAAAAAGATTTGCACAGCAAGGGAAACAATCAACAAAACTAAAAGACAGCCTATGGAATGGGAGAACATAATTGCAAATGATAGATCTGATAAAGGTTTAGTATCCACAATATACAAAGAACTTGTAAAACTGAACCCCCAAAAATAATCCAATCCAAAAAATGGGCATGAACAAACATTTTTCCAAAGAAGACATCTGCTTTTTTATTATTTCCTTTCTTCTAATGTTGGGACAAGTGGTGGTGGTGTTGTTTTTATTCTTTCTTTTTCCTTGAAGTGTAAACTTGTTTATTGATCTCTTTGTATACTCCTTCGTTTTCTTTTAAGAATTTTCAAGTTTTACCTCTGCATTTAGGTCAAAGATTGATTTTAAGGTAATTTATTTTTAAATACTGTGAAATATGGGTCCAGTCTTCACTGAAGTGTGGATGTTCAGTTGTCCCAGCTGCATT